TGAATATTCATTGGTAGGACTGATGTTGAAGCTGCAACTCCAATACTTTGACCACCTGATGCAAAGAGCTGACTCATTTGAAAAGACCCTGATGTTGGGAAAGATTGAGGGCAGGAGGAGAAGGGGACGACAGAGGATGAGATGGTTGGATGGCATCACAAACTCAATGGACATGGGTTTGGGTGGACTCCAGGAGTTGGTGATGGACAGGGAGGCCTAGCATGCTGTGGTTCATGGGGTCGCAAAGAGTTGGACATTACTGAGCGACTGAACTGAACGGAAACAGCAAGTAATAAGTCATTGGTGAAAAACATAAAGCGAGAGATGTACATTAAAATGGTATATAACATAACCACATTTAAGAGTGTATTCCAACATAAAAACGGCAAAGTTCAACAGTGCAAAACTGCAATTACTTTTGCACCAGCCTAATACCACTGCTGCTTCATTGTGTTTGTGTTTTCTAGATAGATATTTTCTCAGCTCTTTATTTTCTATATTGCTGAGACTTTTTGTTTGAGATGTTTTCTTATTAACAGTAACTTCACAGATATTTCTTTCTTTTCCAAGCTGTCTGTTGCATTCACATCAATTATAGTATTTGTGTTTGACATGTTTGTTTTCTTTTTTATTTTTGGTGTGTAAGGGTGGGAGTAAAATTTTCTTCTTCATAGATTACTTTTCTACTTTGCTGTATTGAGCAAGTTTTATGTATTTTTCTCTTCCCATAAAAATTTAAAAGACCTGCTCCTTGATTATTTTTTCCCAAAACATTATATAGAAGTGTTACAATTTCTAAGGTAAAAATCTTAAAATTTATAATTGTCACATAGATGCTATAACTTAGTTATGTTTAGAGTTCCTGATGTCATAATCCTATTCTCTCAGAGCTCTGTAATTGTTGTCCAACAATGTTTGGTGTTGGTGTTAATTACATTCTGTTTCTTTTGCAGATAGCTGTTGTTGTTGTTTTGGGTCTTAAGGATTTTCTCTTTATTTATTTTTTAATATTTATAATTTTTTTTAATTTGGCTGCTCTGGATCTTAGTTGCAGCATGTGGGATCTAATTCTCTGACCAGGGATCAAACCCGGGCCCCCTACATTGGGAGCATGGGGTGTTAGCCACTGGACCACCAGGGAAGTCCCTCTCCTTATTTTTTCAATTTGTTTTTTCTTTCAATTTCCAACTCTCTATCCTTTTTTTCACCCTCAAGCTTTTAGAAAATTCTTTGAATGTATTTTTATTAATTGTTTTTTGAAGCATTCATTTTACTATGCGTTGCTTGTATTGACTTTTTATTTGGGCAGTCAGGTTTTTTATTTCCATAATCTCTTTCTTGTTTTCAGATTGCTCCTTACATGAAAGGCTGCTATTGTTACTGACAATAAAGTATATTTTCCTAACTTTTTAACATCTTTATTGGAGTATAATTGACGTGTAATAAACTGCATATATTTAAAATGTGCAGTTTGATACATTTTGGTATGGGTATGAAACTATGAACCATGAAACTTACCACAATCAAGGTAATGAAGTAATGAATCTGTCTCTCCAGTTTTCTTATGCTCCTTTTTAATCCTTCCTGCCCCTCCTTTCTTGCATTTTCTAGAATTTTATATAAGTGGGATCATACTAGGTACTTTTTTAAAAAACATTTCTAGATAAGAAATTCAAACATAAAAGTAGAGTATAATGAACTAAAGTATGTTCATTACCTAAATGTAACAATTATAACATTTTCCCATACTTTATTTGCTTCTTAAAAATACTTTGTTTTATAACAGTTTTAGGTTTACAGAAAAGTTGAGCAGAGTAGAAAGTATTCCCATATATCCATTCTTCCTCTACACATTTCTCCCCATTATTAACTTCTTCCAAGAGTGTGGCATGTTTGTTTGGCTTCCGCAGTGGCTCAGCGGTAAAGCCTCTGCCTGCAATGCAGGAGATGCAGGAGATCTTCCCGGGTCAGTCCAGAAAGGTTACAGTCCACGGGGTTGCCAAGAATTGGACAAAACTGGTCATGCACATACATCACACACACACATTTGATACAGTTAATGAACAAGTGTTGATGCATTATTCTTGACTAACGTCCACAGTTAGGGTTCACTCTGTGCAGTTCTGTGAGTTTCTGTGCTAAGCCGCTCCGGCCATGTCCAACCCTTGGTGACCCCACGGGCTGTAGCCGCCAGGCTCCTCACTCCAGGGGATTCTCCAGGCCAGAATGCTGGAGTAGGTTGCAGTGCCCTCCTCCAAGGGATCTTCCTGACCCAAAGATGGAACCTGCTTCTCTTTAGGGCTCCTGCATTGGCAGGTGGGTTCTTTACCACTAGTGCCACCTAGGAAGCACCCTACGGGCTTTTACTGTAGGCTTCTTTTTTTTTTTTTCCCCATATTTTGTTTATCCAGTTGGGTTCTTCCAGTTTGAAGCTAATGTTAAAAAAAAAACAAAGCTGCTATGAGCATTACTGTGCACGTCTTTGTGTGGATGTTTGCTCTCACTTCTCTTAGGTAAATGCCTAGGAATGGACTGACTGAGTCATATGGTAGGAGCATGTTTAACTTTCTCAGAAACTGGAAAGTGGTTGTATCATCTTACATTTCCACCAATAATGTATGAGAGTTCTGATTGCTCCACATTTTGCCAACATTTGGAAATGGTCAGCCTTAAATTTTGGCCATTCTGATAGTTATGTTTGGAATCTCATTGTGGTTTTACTTTCCATTCCCCTAATAATGATGTTGAGCATATTTCATGTGCTTATGGACCATTTGTATATCATCTTTGTAAAGTACCTTTTCACATCTTTCTTCCATCTTTGTATCAGCCTGTTTTTCTGTTATCATGTTTTCAGAATTCTTTATTCTGTATACAAATCCTTTATCAAATATGAAATATGCAAATATTTTCTCCCAATCTATGTCTTGTGTTTTAATTCTCTTAACATTGTCTTTCAAACAGCAGAAGTTCTTTAGTTCAGTGAAGCTTAATTTATTAACTTTTTTAATCAATGGAGCTTTGATACTGCTACCAAGAACTCTTTGTATAACCCAAGGACAAAGATATTCTCCTGTGTTTCCTTCCAGAAGTTTTATAGATTTGTTTTACTTTTAGGTCTGTGATCCATTTTGGGTTAATTTTTGTATGGGAAGGAAGGTATGGACTGAGGTTCATTATTTTTGCATATGGATATCCAGTTGTTCTAGCACCATTTCTTGAAAGGAGTCTTTTCTCCATTGACTTTCCTTTGCATATTTGTCAAAAATCAGTTGACCATGCGTGTGGATCTGTTTGTGAACCCACTCTGTATTCTGTTGCATTGATTCATTTCTCCATCTTCATAATGGTACCACATTCTTGGTTATGTAGCTTTATAGTAAGACTTAAAGTCAGATGGTGCAAGTCCTTCAACTTAGACCTTTTTAAAGGTGTTTTCCTATTCTAGGTGTTTTGCATTTCTCTATAAATTGTTAGAATATATACAGTGATCTATGTATAGTTTTCATTACAGAATGGAAGTTGAATCATTCTCAATAAATCATTTAGTTAGCCTTTAATGCTCAGAACTAAGACACAACAATACAAAGCAAAAACTTCAGGTATCCCACAATATTAATAACTTTAACTGGATAAGTGATCTCAATATTGTATGCCAGGTGAGCACTCAGAATTACGATTGCTTTTTTATGTCAGTTAAGGTCCTTTGGTTAGAGGTAACATAAGGAAAAGGGGACTTATTGAGAAAATCCTGAGGTAGCTCATAGAAGTGAAAGGTGAGTTGCAGGAACCAGGGAAGCTCTAAGAACCTTAGAGATTGGTCCTGAGGACTTGATGTCCTTATGATTCGTTTTTCCTAGGCTCTTCCATGTAGTTGAGTCTATGCTCTATAAGAAGTAAAGGAACTTTCTCCATCAGCTCCACTTGGAAAAATTCTGGTAAGGAGTCCGATTGGCCCAACCGGGGTCACCTTCTTCAGCAGAGTAATCACTACTATTCACTACTATAAAATTATTACTAATTAGTCATTGCTATTTAATCACTACTACTAGTAAGGGAGACAGTTCTAATTGATCAGCTCCAGAGTCTGGGTGTTGTGATGAGCACTTTTCCCAAAGGAAGGCGATGCTGTTATCAGAAAAAAGTATGGAAAGCAGTTGCTGGGGTGGATGCCCACTACTCTAGTACACATTACTGAAAGAAAGATTTGATAACTTCAAAGTAATAGATTAGTCAGCGGGTTTTCTTAAATTTCCCTTGATATATGCTACCATCTAAACGGTTGTTCCTACAGGGCTAGGCTGTTCTCTTCGGGCCACGTGGCTTATTATATATAAACTTAAGAAATACTATTTCTTTCAATACTTGAAAGAGTCTAAGACAGTATATCATAAAATGTTCTCCCTGCACACACTCAAAAGTAACCATGTGAAGTAATGGATATGCTAACTGTATTATGATCATTTCACAATATTTATGTATATTAAATCATCACATTCTGCAGCTTAAACTTACACAGTGCTGTGTATCATTTATATCTCAATAAAGCTGGGGGGGGGGAATGAAATTACAGATAATAGTTAAAGAAAAAAGGACTTTCCTGATGGTACAGTGGGTAAGAATCCACCCGCCAATGCAGGGGACTCGTTTGATCCCTGGTCCGGGAAGATGGTACATTCTGCAGAGCAGCTAAGCCCAGGTGCCACAGCTGCCGAAGCCCCTGTGCCTAGAGCCTGAGCTCCACAGCAAGAGTAGGCACCGCGGTGAGAAACCCCTGCATCACAACTAGAGAGGAGCCCCCGCTCGCCACAGCCGGAGAGAAGCCTGAGCAGCAACGAAGACCCAGCACAGCCGAAAATAAGCAAACAGTTAAAGAAAAGAGATACCAGTTTTTACAACTTGATTTTACACTTCTAGAATTACTGCTGGTATTTTTAAATTTATGCATCCTATGGCATCCCATAGTCTTCATTAATATTTTTCTCTCCTTTCTACTTTAGGATGACTGGGAATGTACACGAGAACGAGCTGTTTGTTTTGTGATGGCTTTCAGCATATGCTGACATACTGTTCTGCGATGGCATCGGAGACTGAGAAGTCTCATGCTTTACTCCAGTCGTGCAGCACTGAATCTCTTCTTTCCAGCCTTGGTCTGGGCTTATTCTGCGCAGTAGCTGACAGACTTCTTCAGTTTCCCATAATTCAACAAAATGCCTGGCTTCGTGCACTTTCAGATAACTCAGTACACTGCGTGATTGGCATGTGGTCATGGGCAATAGTCATTGGAATCAGGAAGAAGACTGACTTTGGAGAAATCATTTTAGCTGGGTTTTTAGCCTCTGTTATTGATATAGACCACTTTTTGCTATCTGGATCCCTGTCTTTAAAGGTAAGAAGCCTATATGTTTAATTTTTCTGGGCTTTGATTTCTTTGACGCCATGATATTGATATTTATAGCATCAGTTTAGTTAGAGCTAGAGAAGATTAGCCTTATTTTAAAATAAGAAAGCCCATTCATCCAACGTTTTTGAGCACCAAACACTTTCCTGAGGGTTCAGATATGTTACTGACCACATTATATCACATCACAAGGTGCCGTGGATGTGCCCAGAGCAAAGGTTCAATAATTGTAACTGAGGGGTTCCATTCTGGCTTTATAGGAGATGTTTTAACCAAGTCTTTTTTTTTTTTCTCCAGGGGATCTTCCCAACCCAGGAATCGAACCTATATCTCTGGCATCTTCTGCATTACGGGCAGTTTCTTTACCTGATGAGCCACCTGGAAAGCCCATTAGCACACTAAGACCCCCTAAACCTTGTTTCCATTAGCTCATGGTATCAGAATGTGGAGAAGCAAACCTACAGATTTGTTTCCTGACTTCCTTCATAAGGCATGTATCTGGTGTTATCAGCTGCACACAGGCCTCCTGAATGCATGGTTTCTCCAGCCCTGTAGAGCCTCTCAAACTGCTTCTGTAAGTGACATATGCAGTAAGCAAGGGCACCAATATAAAGACAAATGCTAATTGAATAATACCGGAGCAGCATTTCACATACTCCTGACAAGCACAGGATATGAAGTAAGTGAAGAACAGAACCAGAAAAAATCATGTCCTAGAGCAGGACTGGTAGGACTTTACCTATTTTTGCATGCGAGCTAAGTCATTTCAGTCATATCTGACTCTGTGTGACCCTATGGACTGTAGCCCACCAGGCTCCTCTGTCCATGGGGTTCTCCAGACAAGAATACTGGAGTGGGATGCCATGCGCTTCTCCAGGGAATCTTCCCCACCCAGGGATGGAACCTGGATCTCTTAAGTCTCCTGTATTGCAGGTGGGTTCTTTACCACTGATGCAACCTGGGAAGCCCCCTATCTATTTTACTTCTATGCTTTTATGATATATCCTTCTTTTATTTACCTATGAATAAAGGTTCTGCATGAATATTTTAGGAATCAGGCAAGCAACAGAAGTATCTTGTTTCCTCCTTGTGGGTGTGTTAGTCGCTCGGTCGTGTCCAACTCTTTGCGACCCAGTGGACTGTAGCCTGCCAGGCTCTTCTGTCCATGGGATTTTCCAGGCAAGAATATTGGAGTGGGTTGCCATTTCCTTCTCCAGGGGATCTTCCCGACCCAGGGATTGAACCTGGGTCTCCCGCCTTGCAGGCAGACTACCGTCTGAACCATCAGGGAAGTTTCTTCCTTAGAAACTATTAATATAAATAGGCTTCACAAATGAAAGTGTGAATAGTCAGTATCTGTCCACACATCCAGAGCATAACTACTAATCATCTCAACAGGAGGCTGTTGCTCTCCTCCAAGCAGTGACTGCCATAGGCGCCCCCACCCCACCCTGTTGTGGGGAGCATGTTATGCTGTGGGCATAGAACTTAAAACCCTGGTTTGATTCCTGGGTCAGGAAGATCCCCTGGAGAAGGGATAGGCTCCTCTCTCCAGTAGCTCCCTAATAGCTCAGATGGTAAAGAATCCACCTGCAGTGCAGGGGACCTGGGTTCAATCCCTGGGTTGGGAAGATTCCCCTGGAGGAGGGCATGGCAACCCACTCCAATATTCTTGCCTGGAGAATCCCCATGGACAGAGGAGCCTGGCAGGCTGCAGGCCATGGTGTCACAGAGTCGGACATGACTGAGCTGCTAAGTACAGCATAGCATAAAACTTAAAGGTAGAGACTAAAGTGGCATGATGCAGAAATGTTTTATGTTTTGACAAAATAGAAATAGGCAACTAAAAGTCTGGAGAAGGGAGCGGGAATAAGAATGTAGAATAAACAAACTCTGATTGATGTTTAGCAAGTTGTTGTTGGCCAGTCTCTAAGTCATGTCTGACTCTGCGACAGCATGTTCTGCAGCACGCCAGGCCTCCCTGTCCTTCATCATCTCCAAGAGTTTCCCATGGATCATTCAGGAATTAAGCCTGAAAAACTTCCATTTGTTTAGATGTTGATTACATTTCTACAATGGTTTAGAAATTCTATTGGTTTATTTAACTCAACTTTCAAATCATGTTTAATGATCTTTCTAATGCTTTTGTAAATAAATTTGAAAGTATTCAGGGCTAATATACAATAGTTACAACAAAAAATATTCCCCTTTTATGCATTTATTAATTGAAGAATGGAGCGGGGTAGAAGCAGGATAGGGGAAAGGGATTAAGAGGTACAAACTGCTAAGTATAAAATAATTAAAATACAAAGATGTAATGTACAGAGTAGGAAATATAACCAATATTTTATAACAATGTTAAATGGAATATAACCAATAAAAATATTGTATAGCTATGTTGTATATCTGAAATTAATATACCACTGTAAATCAACTATATGTCACAGTTTTTTATGTTTAATTGAAGAGTATTTTATTCAAATGTGAGACTTTTTCATTGCTCTTAGAGGCTCCAAACAATTCTTTAAAACTCCAAATGTACTCTAACCATACATTTAGGATATAAATTGTATTGTGACTTTTCTGAGCACATAGTAGGAAACTTTAAAAAGTTAGTCATATGTTCTTGAGATCTTGATTTCATTTTTAGTGCAAAGTGTATTTGGAGGTGACATAGAAAATGTTCCCTTTGCATTTCCAGTAGCCCGCAGGAAAACACATACTTATGATGTTAGGCAGCATTTATAAAGTGTTGTTTGCCAAGAAGGAGATGATGCTAGCTATCGCTTTCTCCCTGCAGGCTGCTCTGAGTCTTCCACGACGCCCTTTCCTTCACTGTTCTACTGTGATACCCACTGTGGTTCTGACCCTAAAGTTTACAATGCACTTTTTCAAGCTCAAAGACTCATGGTGCTTTCTTCCCTGGATGTTATTTATATCATGGACCTCACACCACATCCGAGATGGAATTCGCCATGGCTTGTGGATATGCCCATTTGGAAAAACTTCTCCTTTGCCATTTTGGCTTTATGTAATAATCACGTCATCTCTACCTCACATCTGTTCATTCGTTATGTATTTCACAGGGACCAGACAAATGATGTCTTCAAAACATGGAATTCATATTGATGTGTGAGATAACCACATGGCAGTCTTTGAGAACCACTGGTTGAGACGATGACAACCAACATTAAAATGAATTTAAAACACATATTAGGTACTTATGTTAATTATTATAATTCCTAAATCCTCTTGCTCAGGAGGCATGTATATTTCTTAAAAAATTATCTGTATTTGTTGTATTCCTTTCTTCTATAACACTGTAGTGTAACATCAGAGTTTCATTCACTCTGTGGTATATTTTATTATTTCTTTTCTTTATCTGGCTTTACTAATATTATTAGATTAACATCCAGTTAAGTTTTCTGGAAATATACCTTTAAGGTAATTCATTTCCTGATGGAAAACAGCTCAAATTTTAGGATAATTAATTTGTGGAACGTTAGCATTTTGTTTGGATCCAAGTTTTCCTGAGATATTGAAACAATAAAATGCCAAAGTAAATGAGATTATGAATAAGATGTATAATGAATGCTAACGTTTCTTCATTTCATATATTTTGATCCTGACTCATTTGCCAAGTGCTTTAGTGAGTTGTGATTACTGGCAGAAACTGCTTTAGTGCACTTATAATATTCTTAAAAGACGATAGCATTAAACCTAGGTTATTGTTTCAGAAATAACTTTGGGAAATTACAAGTTGTTGTTGGCCAGTCTCTAAGTCATGTCTGACTCTGCGACAGCATGTTCTGCAGCACGCCAGGCCTCCCTGTCCTTCATCATCTCCAAGAGTTTCCCATGGATCATTCAGGAATTAAGCCTGAAAAACTTCCATTTGTTTAGATGTTGATTACATTTCTACAATGGTTTAGAAATTCTATTGGTTTATTTAACTCAACTTTCAAATCATGTTTAATGATCTTTCTAATGCTTTTGTAAATAAATTTGAAAGTATTCAGGGCTAATATACAATAGTTACAACAAAAAATATTCCCCTTTTATGCATTTATTAATTGAAGAATGGAGCGGGGTAGAAGCAGGATAGGGGAAAGGGATTAAGAGGTACAAACTGCTAAGTATAAAATAATTAAAATACAAAGATGTAATGTACAGAGTAGGAAATATAACCAATATTTTATAACAATGTTAAATGGAATATAACCAATAAAAATATTGTATAGCTATGTTGTATATCTGAAATTAATATACCACTGTAAATCAACTATATGTCACAGTTTTTTATGTTTAATTGAAGAGTATTTTATTCAAATGTGAGACTTTTTCATTGCTCTTAGAGGCTCCAAACAATTCTTTAAAACTCCAAATGTACTCTAACCATACATTTAGGATATAAATTGTATTGTGACTTTTCTGAGCACATAGTAGGAAACTTTAAAAAGTTAGTCATATGTTCTTGAGATCTTGATTTCATTTTTAGTGCAAAGTGTATTTGGAGGTGACATAGAAAATGTTCCCTTTGCATTTCCAGTAGCCTGCAGGAAAACACATACTTAAGATGTTAGGCAGCATTTATAAAGTGTTGTTTGCCAAGAAGGAGATGATGCTAGCTATCGCTTTCTCCCTGCAGGCTGCTCTGAGTCTTCCACGACGCCCTTTCCTTCACTGTTCTACTGTGATACCCACTGTGGTTCTGACCCTAAAGTTTACAATGCACTTTTTCAAGCTCAAAGACTCATGGTGCTTTCTTCCCTGGATGTTATTTATATCATGGACCTCACACCACATCCGAGATGGAATTCGCCATGGCTTGTGGATATGCCCATTTGGAAAAACTTCTCCTTTGCCATTTTGGCTTTATGTAATAATCACGTCATCTCTACCTCACATCTGTTCATTCGTTATGTATTTCACAGGGACCAGACAAATGATGTCTTCAAAACATGGAATTCATATTGATGTGTGAGATAACCACATGGCAGTCTTTGAGAACCACTGGTTGAGACGATGACAACCAACATTAAAATGAATTTAAAACACATATTAGGTACTTATGTTAATTATTATAATTCCTAAATCCTCTTGCTCAGGAGGCATGTATATTTCTTAAAAAATTATCTGTATTTGTTGTATTCCTTTCTTCTATAACACTGTAGTGTAACATCAGAGTTTCATTCACTCTGTGGTATATTTTATTATTTCTTTTCTTTATCTGGCTTTACTAATATTATTAGATTAACATCCAGTTAAGTTTTCTGGAAATATACCTTTAAGGTAATTCATTTCCTGATGGAAAACAGCTCAAATTTTAGGATAATTAATTTGTGGAACGTTAGCATTTTGTTTGGATCCAAGTTTTCCTGAGATATTGAAACAATAAAATGCCAAAGTAAATGAGATTATGAATAAGATGTATAATGAATGCTAACGTTTCTTCATTTCATATATTTTGATCCTGACTCATTTGCCAAGTGCTTTAGTGAGTTGTGATTACTGGCAGAAACTGCTTTAGTGCACTTATAATATTCTTAAAAGACGATAGCATTAAACCTGGGTTATTGTTTCAGAAATAACTTTGGGAAATTATTATAACATGTTGGCTGTAGTAACAGTCTACTGAAGTATTATTTTTCAGTATCTTTGCCCTCAAATCTCATGTGTTGGAATTTTAACTGTTTTGAAAAACATAACTAAATTTAACAAAATATTTGTTTAAAGTTAACATTAATAAAATATTGATACTTGACCCATCACCATAGAATTCACAAGAAAGGACCTAACCAATAATGTCATTTCAAATGTAAGCTCCTGAATGTGCCATTAAAATTGCTTTAGTTGCTATCAATTTGTTTATATGCTATTCTAAAATCTATACCAGCTAAATCATTTTTTAAAAATTTGCCTGATACTGAGAGACAATTTTTTTTCCCCAAAAAAAGGAATATTAAGAGATTGGCTTTTTCCTCTGTTCTTTAAGTTGATCTTCTGTTAAAAATGATTAGCCTTCATTGGAGAAGGAAAATTGAGTTGCTGTAAGTTTTACATTTACAGTTTAATGTTACTTTGATATAAGTCAGTGCCCCCAAAGCACCTGTTTTTGTTTTTGTAGCATTTGTACCAGCTGCTGTCTTCAGATTTTCTTACAGGTTTGAGTTTGTAATGCTGGTGATTTTGTGCCTTAATCTCTGAGAAGTGATGAAGCGATGCCTTATCCAAAGCAGATTTTTCTTATTAAGTTAAACAGAGTTCTGTAAATTGTTATAAAGGGTCAGGCTGTTTAGTTTTTCTTCTTTTTGTTAAGTAATTGGTTGCAATCTGTTATACTTTATAAAATAATTCACCCTTACAACCCATTCTAGTCTTTCCAGAGCAATCACTGTGTCAATTTGGTTGGTTTAATAGTATACATTATATAGTGGGGGTAAATTGATTAAGGTAGAGATTTTTTAAAAGCATATGATTTTAGAAATCCATGGAAATAAAGTTATCTTGTGTAATTTTTCTGACTAAATTACAAAACTCTCCCTTTTTTCCCTTCTCTGTATTAAACAAATTAATATCATAAAAATATAGGGCCTTAAATAAGAATGTTACATGGGCATTTTGGGAGTTGTCTGTCCTAGCTTTATTAGAGTGGGAACTCACTTTGACCATGTCTCCTTGCTTAAGCAGTAACTTCAGATTTTAAGTGTGGGTTTATCTTTGTTCCTACCTCTACCATCAGAAACATTTATTGTCCTCTAAGTGATCTCTGAAAGCAGTGGTTGTAACCTGTAGAGATGTAGTGACCAAGTTCTCATGCCACCATTTTGTTCCTTCTCTTAGTGGAAGAGCTTGTGTCAATTCAACTTATGTTCTGTCTTCCTTGTATGTGTGTGTTTTCTCTGTTCTCTAGACATTCTCCTTTCTTGTAATGTTTCTCTCGACTATATCACTGATCTGACTTCCCAGCCTACTGTTTTCTTGAGCCATTTCCATTATGCTGGCTACTCAGGAGAACTTCTACCAATGAACTGTTTTCTATTCATCCCAGGGCTACTTTCTTTTAGCAGTAGACTAAGAACCCTGTAGTGTATGGGTTAAAACTCCCATTTATCCTCACTTCCCTTCTTTAACTTAGACCTCTTTTCTCCCAGGCAGCCTCTTCCTCCCAATCAGGCACATATTTCTTGGCTCCTTTCTCTTTTGGCTGGTGGAACAATTACTTAGTTTTTTTCCCATTTTCCCAACTGAAGGAGAGAGGAATAGGGGCTGTTCTGGTACATGCTCACTGCTGTCACAGCTAAACTTTATCCATCACAATTCTCAGTCTGCTTCATTTGATATTATATTATTTGCTCCAAATCCTCCTCACTCACTCAAACGACCTTCTTAAGACTCAAGCTTCACCTTCTTTGATGATATGAGCAACTGGATCACTTTTTTCCTTTTATTTTAACCTTGATTTTATCCTCAGTCTTTAGATAACCCAGAAAGCTAGACTTCAGTATCTCTTCTTCTGTGCCACTGACTCTCATCACCACATCACATCAGCCATCCACCAGGACAACAGGCCTCTGTGCCTCTTTTTCAGGTGACACTGCACACCTCTGAGATCTCCAACTCTGTTTCCTTTTTCTAGACCAGTTCTCTAACATACAACAGGATCACCTATGACGCTTATTAAAACAGGGACTGCTTAAGACCCACCCCAGAATTTGCATTTCCAGTAAGTTCCCAGCAGCTCTTGCTGCTGTTCAGGAACCATCCTTTAAGAGCCACTACTCCAGACCCATCCTGTTTCTTTAACTTCATTTTCCTCCCATCCCTTCTCTTCAGTGATACCTTTCATTTTTTCTTAACTTTCCTTTATCAGCAGGTCCACTAGCCTGCTGCTGAAAGTGAAGTGAGTCGCTCAGTCATGTCCGACTCTCTTGTGACCCCATGGACTCTACAGCCCATGAATTCTCCAGGCCAGGATACTCTGGAGCGGGTAGTTGCTGGGTACATTTAATTCTGTCCTGGCCCCTACGTGTGCAATGCTGTAAGTTCCTATTGCAACACCCTAATACTCCAGACTTCCCTGTGTACTATCCAGTTAGTCAACCCAGAATAATCCTTAGTCTGCTTTCCCCAGTTCTTTCTCCTTAAGATCACATGTCTTTAAAGTAGTTATGGAACCATGCTGACTACAGTTCATGCCAACTAACTTCAACTGGGTATTTAGTACTTTGCTCACTGCTGAACAGTTTTTTTCCCAAAATATTGTACTGGACAAGCCAAGGCTCAGAATATCTGTCCATGTTAGATGCAACCACAAGCCAGGCTCAAAGCATTCCACTGATCTGAGAAACTCTTGTTAATAATCAGTCTCTACTGTTACTTTGCATAAATCCAAGGTATTGCCACATGTCTCCCTTGGCATTTTTTTACTTCCCAGGAATCATGATTATAACCAAAGAGTTTCTGAAGCATTTTACCCTTTTGACTGACCTTGCAAGCAGTTATTTAGCTTACATTCCCAGCAGCAGCAATTAATGCTGCTTCAAGGCCTTGGCAACATTCAAATCCCATCAGCCCGAAGGCTGAACAGGAGGGGAATGTCAGATAAGGGCTCTAACACTCCAATCTTCTTCAGACATCTGTGTGAGCTCACCTAGAAAGCACCCATCTGAATTCACACATCCCTACTCATTCAGTATTCATTTGACTTAAGCACGGTCCAGGTTCTCAGATCAGCAGTATTGATGCCATGCTCATGAAGTGGAAGTCAGATGAAATTTCCGTAAATATCTAGGTGACAATAAAGTATAAAGTGTGGTATAAAGGTTATATAACAGACCATGCCCAAAACCTTTGACTGTGTGGATCACAATAAACTGGAAAATTCTGAAAGAGATGGGAATTCCAAACCACCTGACCTGTCTCTTGAGAAACCTGAATGCAGGTCAGGAAGCAACAGCTAGAACTGGACATAGAAAAACAGACTGGTTCCAAATAGGAAAAGGAGTACATCAAGACTGTACATTGTCACCCTGCTTATTTAACTTATATGCAGAGTACATCATGAGAAATGCTGGACTGAAGGAAGCACAAGCTGGAACCAAGATTGCTGGGATAAATATCAATAATCTCAGGTATGCAGATGACACCACCCTTATGGCAGAAAGTGAAGAACTAAAGAGCCTCTTGATGAAAGTGAAAGAGGAGAGTGAAAAAGTTGGCTTAAAGCTCAACATTCANATGACTGAGCAACTGAACTGAACTGAACTGATACACAGGGGTAATATAAAGCATTCATAAGAAATCCTATCAGGACCACAATGCATGCTGCAGAGGCTCTGCTCTTGGAAAGCCATGTGCAAATATCATAGTTCCCTCTTCCTGGACCTTCGTGGCGGTTTGCCCAGTCAATAACAATAGTCTCTCAGTGTTAGGCCTGTCCCATGGCCAGCAAAGACTGTGTCGTTTCTCTAGATTCTAAGCTGATTGGCACAGGGCTGTTCTTGGTCAATCTGGCCTCACAAAGTTTTGCACAAGCCCCAGGCCAATCCTTCTTGGAAGGGCTCTGCCACATTTCTTTTTTCAAATGTATTTTGATTAATGAATTCAGCTATGCCATATCTTTTTTTTTTTTAAGTTGTGGCATGCAAACTCTTAGTTGTAGCATGGGGAATCTCGTTCCCTGACCAGGGATTGAACCCAGGCCCCTTCCATTGGGAGCTCGGAGTCTTAACCACTTACTGGATCCCCAGGTGAGTCATGGCTCTCCCACTTCTAGCGTGTGAGACAGAGCAAACCACTCCACAAACTGTATGTTCCTATCTTGACAGATCAACCCAAGTGAGATGGGATTAAATAACCCCCAAAGGTCTCTGAAAGGGTAATAAAATTACAGAAGAGTGAGAAGAAAGTAGAGATGGGGAGCCTGCCTATCTGGCCTGCTTATGATATGTGTGGCCTGTATTACTTTTCTCTTGCTGCTATAACAAATTACCATTAGCTCAGTGACTTAAAACAGACAAATGTATTACTTTACAATTGTGCATGTCAGAAACCCCATATGGTCTCACTGGGCTGCAACCCAGACATTGGCTTGGATGCCTTCCACCCGGAGGCTCCAGGGGAGGAGCTGTTCGCTTGCCTCCATCAGCTTCTAGGCTCCACCTGCACTCCTTGGCTCATGGCGCCGCCCGTCTTCAAAGCCAGCAATGGTAGGTCAGGTTCCTTTTCACACTGCACCTCTCTGCTCCTCTGTCCATAGTCGTGTCTCCCTCTGACCACAGCTGGGGAAGATTCTCCGATTTAAGGGCCCAAGGGATTAGATTGCATCCATCTAAATAATCCAGGCTAACCTCCTCATCAAGGTTCTTCATTACATTATGAAGTGTCTTTTGTTGCATAAGGTAACACTCATGGGTTCCAGGAATTAGGACATAGAGATCTTTGGGGCCATTATTCTGCTTGCCCTTTGAACTGAGCCCTGGTGTCTTTGAACAAGCCATTCGTCCTTTTTAAAAATCAGTGACAGGCCAGGTATTTTCCAAGACCCCCTTTCTGCTCTTTCTTTTTTTTTTAAAATGCCTGATCTCATTATTTATTATGTTTTGGCTGTGCTGGGTCTTCCTTCCTTCCTGTGTGGGCTTTTATCTAGTTGCAGTACACAGGCTTCTCATTGCAGTGGCTTCTCTTGTTGTGGAGCATAGGCTCTCAGCACTAAGGCTTTAGCAGTTGTGGGTCCTGGGCTTTAGAGCACAGGCTTGATAGTTGTGGCACATAAGCTTAGCTGTTCCATGGCATTTGGGATCTTCCTGGACCAGGGATCACACCTGTGTGTCCTGCACTGGGAGGTGGATTCTTTACCCTGAGCCACCAGGGAAACCCTGCTCTACTTCGCTTACTCCTCACCTCCTGTCCTAATTGTGGGTATCCTCACTTTCTGGGGGAAATGACCTCCAACTTTCCTTGTCTGAGTTAAGTTTAACCTTGGGATAATAATGTCCTTTTTTCCCCCAGCTAGTAACACCTCTGATTGTTATTTCTCTTTATTTTTCCCATCTAGAACTACCGAGTCTTCATACAAATGCTTTCTGCATTCTCTGTGAAAAGAAAAAAAAAACTGTTTAATTCAGAAAAGTCTTGGCCAGTTAAACATTCATCATTCCTCTGGGTGAAAATGAACACTGTACCAGCCCTCACATAACACTGGTTCAGTCAGCTGTGGAACAAATGTTTAATGTGTCCCTGCTGTATTGCAGGCCTTGCATTAAAAACTAATCTTCTAATGGTGAAAAGGACACTATCTCTATATTAAAAGAACAGCAAGGCTAGTGGTGGGGCACGCAGGAGACAGGACTTTTCAGTACAGCGTGGTAAGTGCTGCTGTAAGCAAGCACAGGGCCTCTGATGTCCCACTAGGGAAGAAAGGGGAGTTCCCTGAAACCAAATGAAAAGCAGGAGGACCCCAGTGAAGGTGAGAGTGAGGTGATGAGAGAGGGGTGGAAGGTCCCCAAAGCCCAAGCAAACAGTGTTCACAAAAG